TTTTTTGGAACCTAGGCATTTGGCCGTGTGTGGGGAGAATGGGTTCGACACAACATGCTTATTTCGAAGAGAGGGACACTGCGCCCTTCGAGGTAGTACATATCAGTAATCGAAGACAAGCTAAACACTCACCTACGCGAAACCTGGCAATTGCCGTGTGTGGGGAGAATGGGTCCGCAGCTGCAGTACCGTGCCACTTTTTTTTCGGTTAAAAGAGCACAGGAATGGAGCTGGAGGTTAGTGATGCCTGAGCTAGCCGCATGCCTAACCATAGCCAAACGCGCCACCTGTCTAGGTCCTCTCATTTCTGATCGTTCTTTAACACTGAGTACGTGTTTCGCTGAGAACCACGGTATCGACGCAAGCGCTGCACTAGGGGACAACGCGGACGGAGCACGAAGGGCACTCAGATACAACCACCCTACAGGTCCGCGCTCCCGTGTAGTTTTGAGCGGAGAAAGTGGCATGCAACTGCACTAACAAAAACACAACATACATGTAAATTGTGTCGCGACAAAAAGGGGCGGAGTTATCTGGGGGCGGGGCATGTAATGTAGATATAATATAGTGTAGTGTGTGTAGAAAATGTAGATGAAGGGCCCTTCGAGCAAAATTTTGGAAGAGAGCCACTTCAAACAAAATTCATAAGTAACTGTTGAACCATTCGCCTCGCAGATGGCAACGATCGTCCAAACTGCGAACAAATCTCTATTACTGATACGGGAAGGATGGGTGCGTGTCAAAGATCATCCTGCACTTAAAAGAGCTGCAACCAAATTATTCCACTCAGTGAGTACTGACTAGAAGAACATCGGGGCAGTAGTTCCAATGACAAAAGTCAAACATTGCTAATCGAGTGAGAAATCTGAGCAAAGCTGATTAACCAGAATGAATCCTCGGCCAATAGGCTTCCTACCCTTCATGTGTTTATGTGGATTCTGAGAACACAGCGCTTGGGGGCATTAAGCCCTAACTCTAATGCCAACTGCGTTTCGTTCGTCCCCTGTTGTTCACTCTATCGCGAACGATAGGGCGCCGGTGGATTCTCGCGGAGGGTGCGGTTCTTCAAAGGCGAGTTTCTCTTTAACGGGCTTTGGGGAGGTATCGCAACTGGTCCTAGCGACGATAATGATTGTCGATAGAGTAGGTCAGACACGGATGGGATTCCGAGCCATTTTTGGGGCGTCCATTAAGGCAACAACTGTTCGGTAAAAATCGAGGCAGTTCCATCATAACAAACCTGTGGCGCTAACAGGCCACGTCGAACGCTGGGGATCCCCAGCGAGGGTCTTATATGGTCGCTAGAGAAGAGGTTGGCATGGCCTTAAAAATTTTCTGACAAGCAATTTTTCCTGTTGCACGCACACTATCCACATCGTTGGTAAACTTCACTGGGTTGAGGGGCTTGCACTGTTGTCGCACTGAGAGGGATTGGGGGGAGGGGAGGGCAGCCGTAGCTAACCTTGAAAACTTCCTTCCGGTCGCACTAGAGGAGGAAATTTTAAGGTCGTATTTTGCAAAAGCTCTCCCAGCGGCAATGAAAAACTAACACGTGTGTATTCGTTAGAAAATTAGGATAAATAAAATGAAACCTACTTCGCTCTCGTTGCGAACTCAGGCACTTTCATTCGCATACGCTTGAATTTTTGAAGGTGCATAAATGCAGCTCTCTCGATTGCAGCAGCACGTTCACTGGTGAAATTCGGCTGAACCATCAATAATAAGACGTAATTATCCTCTCAAATCGAAACCAGTTTCTCACAGATTGAATAAAGATTGCAAACAGCAACAAATATACCAACTTACTCCTTCTCGAACGGCGAGGAAAAGAGCGCAAAACGCATCTTCCAGTTGTTTTTCCTTATCGTCATGGTACTCCCGCAACAGCTAAAATATGGTTTTCCTCACAAATGAAGGATCGCACGCCATTCTCTATTTCTGCTCTTACAGTCAATCAATACTGTACTCCCTTTATAACAGGAGTTCTTGGTTACGGGCTAAAGACTTGTTCCCAGGCAGGGCCGGCTTTCGGATCGCGATCTACGGCGATAGGTAGGTACCACAACAAAGGCTCCCTTTACTTTTCTCCCTCCTCCAGAATTTTCAGAGAGAGCGTTCACGATTGCTGCTAATATGGGGGCCAGCGTCATCGGCAAGGGGAGGGGCGTCGGCCACACCCCCAAAGAAACTTGCGCAAGTTGGCCGAACACCCTCCTTCATCAATGACGATGGCAACAAGCGCTCGATTCCAGCAATCGTGTCCACTGCCTTTGAATGGTCATAACACATGAACCTGACTTTTTCACATAAACTGCTACGGAATTTCACGGACATGTAAGTAGAAACCGAGAGCTTCTTCCTGTCTACTCTTCATTGAAAAAAAACCCTTGAGACTCACTGTAACGGTCTTGCCGTGATGCTGAGAGCGCACATGACTCAATCCCTCTTCTTCAGTGTAGAAAAACTCCTTCATGCAATACATACACCGGTACGGTCGATACCTTAAATCAGTACGGAATCAACCCAAAGAGAAGAACGATTCAAGAAGTGGTTTTGGCAGTACCCATGGGACCTGATGTCTTATATCAAGTTCGATTCACTGGGGACTAGCGAGCGGTGCAGACCAGAGCGTGCGATAGCCGAACTGGTGAGA